TCTCGGCGACGCTTAAGCGGGGTAGCACCCGCCTGTTTCTGCGGAAGGGGCGCTCCAGACTCCGCCACCTTCTCGGTCGCCGACCCTTCAACCCCGACAGCTTTGGACGCTTCTTGCTCTTTCCACAGTTTCCGAAGCTCTCGGTTACTTAGGCTGGCCATGTTTTCTGCAATAAGTTCAGCAATACACTATGTTCACAATTGAATTTTGTTAAGTAAAGCAACGACAATAATCACAGAAAAATCGTAAATACCTATGTAGATTTTCAGTTCAGTGGGCCTATTTTCTAAATCTAGAAGTTTGGCAGTGTTGAAGATGGTTTTGAGGTCTTCAAGTTTTTTAACCTCCTCTCGGTCATTTTCCGATAAGGCATCAACCTCTAACCCCTTAATAGGCGAAGGTCTCTCACACCAATACAACGGGTACCCCTCGAGCAAGCTTTCGTTACCCACCGTACAACGAATCCGGAAGTAAGCCCTTTTAAAATCTTTATAGGATTGTTGGAATAGGGATAACAACCCCCTGCCCATAACTCCACCGACCGACACCCAACTACTACGTTTAGATATCCGACTTTCAAAAAAGTAAAAGAACTTGTTGACAGTCGGCGAAATACCGAGGCCTGAGCATAAAATCTCGAACCCACGAACAAAAGCCCATCCATTTGGGTGATGTTGGGTGGGGGCCACATTTAACACTCGGAGTACTCCTTTCTCACACTCGGTAAGGGGCCACCTAACTTTAATTTTGGAAATAAGTGTAGCATAACAAAATGTGAAACGTTCTAGCGGCGGAGCACTAGGGGAACTAACACAGACAGGTTCCTTATCTACACACGACTCGCAAATAATAATACCAGCACCCTCACTACACACTACGTGCTCCCGGCAAAAGCCATCCATGGCAGCACAAGAATTCAGGGATGAATCACATCTTAGCACATCGTCCCTAACCCATTTGTACAAGTCTCTATAACTTACAGTAGCCATTTCCATTTTATAAATAAAACCTAACTTTACTAACGACAGAGGAAGGATTTGGCTTCAAAATAAAAGCTACTAAGACGAGGAGATAGATGCGCGTACCTAGGGTTCACCCTCACAACCTTCTCCCACCCAACACAGGCACAGAACCGCCGTGCACCGCCGTAGACCACAAGAAGGCAAAAACTATCACCGGAGGAAGGGGACGCGCATAATAGGAGGCAAAAGCAAAATCAAAAGTTCCCAGATGATGGATATTTATAAGGAGAAGGGCCGCGCGTGAGGGGTGAGGCCCAAGAGTTACAATGCGCGCGTGGTAATTGAGACCCAAGGGTCACAACGCATGCGAGACGTTACGAGACCTGCACTGGAGGGTCCCACACCCTCGACTTTAATGACAAACACCTCCACGTGGCACCGCATTAACTCACATCCTGCAACGCCGGTTTCGCAATAAATGCATGTCTCTTCGTTGATGAAATGAAAAGACACTTCTTGTCAAGTCCCAAGGAGCCAAGAATCGAGGCGACAGGCGTATATCCCCATTCCCGACATGTCTACAAGGGCCACATTTCAAGCCTTTCCGCCTTATAGGCTCAAGGCTGGAAGGCTAGTGGACCGTCCCAGTTGCAGTCCGACTGGCACTCCCCGCGCGCACAGGACCGACTACAAACCCACGAAACATCCCAGTGGGAAGCCTGTCGAGTCCCAAGGGGCTAAGAATCGAGGCGACAGGGGTATCGCTTTATTCCCGACATAGCTTACCAGGGGCTACACTTTAAGCCTTTCCGCCTTATAGGCTCAAGGCTGGAAGGCTAGTGGACCATCCCGGTCAGTACCCGACTGGTCAACGTGACCCGACCTGACTCCACCATATCTGACTCCACCATACGTAGCAGACTGATTAGAACCTAGGCCGACCCCCTCTTTTAGGGGTACTCGGTCTATGACCGACTATGCCCCTCGCATGAGCCTGGCCGACCCCACATTAATCCCACTTGTCTAAGAACCTACTCGGTAAATAACCGACTAGGTCCCCCAAATGGTCCTAGTCGGTCGGGAGCCGAGCCCTACCCCTTATATCGATACCATCCTGTGGCAAGGGTAAGACCCCACCCTTGCTCATCAGTTATTTTATGGATAAGAGCGATTAAGGAAATCCCTATATTCTCAAGGCCCGCGAGGCCTAAAGACTATATAACCTAAAACCCTAGAGTTGAGAGGGCAGATTACACTTTTAAATGCTCTGGCTCTAAGGCACGATCTAGGAAAAAACCCTAGTCCACCCTTTGGCCGGAACAGATTGTAATATGCAAGTGCCTAGCAATCCTTCAACATGCACCCATATATTTAGAATATTATAGACAAAAATAGTATCAAACTAAACCCTGAATAGTCACATTGTAAAGTTAATAGTGAGGTAACTCTTGACTATTACTGGCTTTGGATGAAGGTACATTTGTCCTAGATTGGTTTATGCACATAAACAGGTGGGATTCTAGGCAATTATCAATCAAGTGGGCATATCAAGAATGAGTGGAAGATCCTTCGTATCATTCAATGTAACTTGCAATAACATTATAGTGGTGCACCACTTGCTCTCTAGTAATAGCTAGGTGATCTTCAAAATGAAACGAATTATCATCCATCTCAAACAGTGTAGTAGGTACAACTTAAAAGTCATACATAAGATGATTGAGGAGTAGTCCAGAATTAAAACACCATAAAATTAGGAACATACAACATAATTTAAAATTGAAACTAAACTCCTAAAATTAAGAAACTAGTAGTCAACTCTAACTTACATAGAACCATATCTTATTCTAATCTATATTTTTCACTATTTGTAAAGACTGCTAAAATTTAGAAAGCAAAAAACAACTAAGTTACTTGAAATAAAATCGATCTCCTTATATATATAACATCCGATCAATAACTACACAAAAAATATATTATTTTATTTTTTCAACAATATATTAGGTGCTAGAATGTATTTAAATATTAGATTAAAAAAATATAAAGTCATTAAATTAGGGTTTCAATTTGATTTAGTTCTGAATATAGTATAATTATCGAACAAAAGAATGCAATTTTTTTGTTTTCAAATTTTAAGATTAACGGTTTGTTCAATTTAATTTTTTTAGACGATTTAATGCTTTATAAATTGCCGAGCACCTCTAGACTTCGTCCATCGATTTCTGAAACCAACAAAATTTGAACACATTAACTATTATAGGCACTAAAACAAACCAAAATTGAGCAGAATCTGAAAAAACAAAAAACTAAATTATCATTTGAATGACAATAAAATAATAAAATTAGAACTTAAGATATTAGACATTAGGTATATAGACTCCCTTGATATTTGTAAATAATTTAAATTGTTTTCCAAAATTACACATAACATTTTTTGAAATTAATAATATATTTTTTATTTAATTATTTCTTATCTAATTAATTGATATTTAGAAAGAAAATATTAATCATCTAAAAATTATGTCAACTCATCTTCAATTTTAATAGGAGAAAGAAAGGGTTTATCTCATTAATTTTTGAATATTTATTATTTTTCTCAAAAAATTGTTAATTGATTAAGAGTTATGGTAAAGAAATAATTAAAGCAAGAAAAAAAAATTACAAAATAGTTCTTATGAAAAAATAAACAAAACAATAAAGTGAAAACTTGTTATATATAAGACCATAAATAATAATAATTTTACGAAAAAGGAATAAAAATAGCACTCTCTTTAATTGATTAAAATTATTAGAAAACATAAAATTTAATGGATTTCACAATTTAATGATTCTCTCTTTAAATTTCGTAATTTTCAAAAAATTTAATAAAAGATGATGTATTAAGAGAAATGTGTTGTTAACATTTCTCTTTTACAAAATTAACTTTATTATTAGTTATTTTTGTAAGAAATGATGCAACACACCAAAAGTATTTTAAAAAATAATTAGAAATAGAAGTACAAAATAACAGAGAGTTGAATTCTTTTTTCTCTTAAAAGCATCGTTAAAAGAAATGCTTCACACACCTGATTAAATATCTTTATTCATTAAATGATTTCATATTTTTATAATAAAAATATAATTTTAGGAACAAATAAGTGACACTGATAATGTAAAATAACTTCATGTTATGATTCAATCATTGTTCCGATAAAATAATATAGTTATCACCAAAGTATTCAAGTCTCTTCTTCCACACTATAATGTGTTATATATATATATATATATATATATATATATATATGAAGAGGGTTCAAATACACCGGTGTAACTCTATCAATTCTCAACTATTGATCAACTTTTAATCTAACAGTTCTAATATAAACATAATAACTTATAATCTAACGATTCAATTCTCTCTTGCGTAGGAAGGACCAAAAGCAAACCTTGTGCGATTTCAATTTGGCTGTGCGAGTGAGAGGTAGGGTAAGGTTGAATTCGTGTATGTAGGAGGCAACGTCGTGCGATTTCAATTTGGTTGTAAGAAGGAACGGCGTATCTAGGTGTTTGTTTGCGCGCGAGAAGGAATTGAATCGTTAGATTATAAGTTATTATGTTTATATTAGAACCGTTAGATTAAAAGTTGATCAATGGTTAAGAATTAGTGTAACTCTTTTAGAGTTATATATATATATATATATATATTCTCTTAGAGCCATGTTCTACTTTTTAACATTGTACCCCTTATTCACTAGATCACATCTTAGAGCAATTATTGTAACTGTTATTTTTTTTATTCTTTATCCCCTTATTTTAGCTACATATCCTGCCATAATTTTTGAAAAAATAATTAGATTCACATACTTTTTATAATAACCACCATATTTCACTTTTCACGCATAACTATTAGGTTGGTTAAAATCCCATACAATAACAAACTACTTCTTATGATGAGTGGTTGAATTTTATAATAAATAAGTTATATATTAAAAGGTAAATAAAAAAACAGAAGAAAAACATAAAATTGGGATGATATGCAATTAATTTAGAAGCATGCACACTATTAGGTTTCGGCAACCGTGTCACTCTATAAAGTCTCATGGGGAACATGCATGCAGAGAGAAAACCAATTCAAAAGAGAAGCAAGTATCTTAAAGAGGGGGAGCAACACAGTTATATCTACCACTAACACTTTATTGCCTCTCTCTTTCTCTTAATAGTATATGAAAAACCAAATTCTACATTCTAAACTCGTTTCAGTATCCAAAACCATGAGATTCTCAACCTTAGCCTTTCTCTTATTGTTGGTGGTACAAGAAGCCACTTGCTTCAGCAAACACACACCACTGCCTCATTTCAGGAACAAACTTAAGGATAGAATGGCCTCTGCCCTCTCCCAACCACCATCTCCATCTCCATCTCCAGATACAAAAAATGTAAGTCACATTTTTTATTTTTTTCAACTTTTTGGCATTTAATTAATTTATTCTCCCATATCTTTAGTTCTAAGTGTACAATTATATTAAATACTCATAAGGGAAACTTTGTCATACATAATAATCTTTTCTGACTCGAACATGATTGTGACAATAGTGCATATTTATGCAAATTTAATAGTGTTGATTTTGAATATGAATCAGAGTGGTAGAGTGGTGTACCCAAGTGAGTATGGTGCAGACCCCACAGGAGCAAAAGAGAGCAGTGATGCCATTCTGAAAGCAGTGGGAGAAGCTTTTGGGTTGGAGAGTGGACTTGAGATGCTTCAAGGGATTAAGGATCTTGGAGGGGTTGTGATTGATCTGCAAGGTGGAAACTACACTATCAGCAAACCCATCACATTTCCTTCCTCTGGTGGTGGCAATGTTGTGGTCAGCATTTTCTCTCATTCCCTCTTTTCATGCTTGCCTTTTGGTTGCTGCTTACTGTCTTTCATCTGGATATGCCTTGCTTTTGCATAAATCTTTTTAACAAAGCAATAAAAATAATAAAAAAAACTTTGCATCTATTCACTTAATAAAAGAATAAATGATATTTACACACAATATCTAATTATAAACCATAAGTTTGTTAATTTGTATGATAATTATATTAAAAATTATAATAAAAAATGAAAATTTTAACTGGTTATCGGTGTAAAATTTTTATACTAACTATATATATGCATATTAAACTCCCAGAAACAACAAACCACAAGCCAAATTTCATGGGTCAAAGTTTGATTTACCTGTAACACAATGTTGATTGTTGAAACTTGAAAGGGAAGTGTTTAGCAACTCCCCTTCAGTCACGCTTCATTGCTAAGGTAATCATAGTAAAATATATATAAAAACAAAAGCATCACTCTAGCCATTGAACTTGGATTCATCTAATTCAAACGTTTAGGTGAATGAAGCCAAAACAGGGGTCATGGTAATTAATTTCTAAAGTTATTTATATAGAAAAAAAAAATCACATTATAACGCTTCATTTGATTTTAATTTCTTGAATACTCATTATTTTTGTCACTACTATAAGGTATTCTTTTGCTTGACTACCATTTTCATAGTTATGAGAGTTAATGTATGAGGGATATATGATCAAAGACCAATGACCATGTCATTCTCATATATCCTCTTAATAAATTTTAAATTTTAAAATTTAAAATTAATTATACACATATTTTATAGTATTTTTTTTTATCTGACTTTAAATAAAGGGGTTTTAATAATATACTTTTCTAACATAGTATTATTGATTAAACTAAATTACAAGAGAAATTCACAAAATTTTGTAATTTTTAATAAATTTTACTCTTATATCTAAAATTTTTTTTAGATCTTAATTCTTATAACTTTTTTTTTCTCTCTCGCAAAATAATTGACCTTTTAAAAGTTCAAAGTCTAATTAATATTTTTTTTTCTCAGTTATACTCCTATTTAATATGTACTTTCTCCAACAACTTCTACCAAGAAAGAAAGAAAATTAAGCAAGAAGAAAAATCATCTTCTATATCAGCAAATCCTTAACGGAAATGTGCACTATAAGTATAATCATTTTGGATATCTTGTACTCCACGCATTTTTTTTTTTGAAGACATGATCATATATTAATCAATTATATCCGCATTAGATTAATCTTTTAACTAAACTGACTCAAATTTCTTTCCTATAATTTGAATTTATTATATTTTGTATTACGCTTGGACTAAACTAACTTGCAATTGATGCATACACTTTCATTGTTAGTATTACTTTTCATGAATAATCTTTGTGCTGAATCTTTGATTGATTATATAAAAGACTAAAAGGAGAGATTGAAAAAAATAATACTCCGATCAACATTTATGACTTATTAGACTCTTACCATCTTAACCATTAACATTAGTGTTTTGGTGAGAGTTGAGATAGAATAAATAAAATCTTATGTTTATTTTTTGTTATCTGATAACTCTTATCCAAATAAAACAATTCTTACCATCATTAGCCAAGCTTTAGTAGATTGTTTAGTTAAGAAAACTATACATGTGAGAAGTTAAATTGAAGTAATTTTTGTTGGCAATAATGTTGCAGTCCTATGCTTAATCTTCTTGCACTTAAAAAGTACATAAATGATTGATCAGGTAAAAGGAGGAACATTGAGAGCTTCTGATTCATTCCCCACTGATAGGCATCTTGTTGAGTTATGGTCATCAAATTCCAAAAAGCATCCTAAAACATCAGTTATCAGCAGCACAAAACTTCAGCAACCAAATGGTATTTACTATGAAGACATAACATTCAGAGACATTCTCTTTGATTCTGGCTTCAGGGGTGGAGGCATATTCATTGCTGATTCAGCCAGAACAAGGATCAACAACTGCTTCTTCCTGCACTTCACCACAGAAGGGATTCTAGTCCAAGGGAGCCATGAGACCTTCATCTCAAGCTGTTTCCTTGGGCAGCACTCAACAGTTGGTGGGGACAAAAGGGAGAGGAATTTCACTGGCACTGCCATTGATCTTGCCAGCAATGACAATGCCATCACAGATGTTGCAATCTTTTCTGCAGCCATAGGGGTTGTTCTGAGGGGTCAGGCCAACATGGTCACTGGGGTGCATTGTTATAACAAAGCCACAGGTTTTGGTGGCATTGGCATTTTGGTCAAACTGCCTGGATATTCACAAACTAGGATTGATAATTGTTACATGGACTATACAGGTATGACTTATTATATTCTTACACTTAGTTTCACTTTCATTTCACATTTTAGAGAAATTATTATATGGTTCATCACTATGACCGAAGAGCTTATGTTGACCAGAGATATAGTCAATATATATAATATATAAATAAAAAATAATTCTTACTTTATAAACTAGTCTTATATATTTAAGTTAGATTCAAATTCACTTTCTTAAGATAATATCAAGAGTTTATCTTAGTAATTATTATTTGACCGCTAATTAGATTACTAATTATTGAATTATTATTGGATCATCTTCAAATGTATAGTTTTGCAAACTTTATACTCAAAATATCTGGTTATTAACATAAAAAGGGTTTATTAGAGGATATGTTAAGTTCAAATTCACATTTTTAAGAACTATGGTTCCAAATAATTTTCATGTTATATGTAAACGAGACTATGGATACGAGGTAATCCTAAGTTGTTTTCTCCATCTCCATTTTTTTTCCTTATTTTTCTCTTCATTTCTTATTACATCATTTGTCACATTTACCAGTTTTTTTCTCTCCATTTCCCTTCTACTCATAGACCAAAAATTGAACTTTTTTTTTTTTGTATACAGGTATAGTGCTGGAAGATCCTGTTCAAGTTCATGTGACTAATGGGTTTTTCTTGGGGGATGCTAACATAGTTTTGAAGTCAATTAAAGGAAAAGTTTCTGGTTTGAATATAGTTGACAATATGTTCTCAGGGAACTCCAAAAGCAAGGTTCCAATTATAACTCTAGATGGTGAATTCAGTGAGATTGATCAAGTGGTGGCTGATAGGAACAATGTGATGGGGATGAGTTTGAGATCAACGGTTGGGAAGTTAAGTGTGGCAGGAAATGGCACAAAGTGGGTGGCTGATTTTTCAAATGTTCTGCTATTCCCCAATCGGATTAGTAATTTCCAGTATTCATTTCATGCACAAGGGGAGGACAAGTTCTTGGCACATTCTGTGACCAATGTCACTAACAATGTTGTAGTTGTGGAAAGTGAAAAACCAGCTCAAGGGCTTGTTTCTTTCTTGGTTGAACAATAAGTTGTATATGGGTTTTTTGGGTCTTCTCCATATCTCATAAATAAAATTGTGATTCATGACTTAATTTGGATTTTTTTCCCCTCAATTTTCTTTTTCGTGGATTTCCTATATTAAATAGACGGGCTTAAAAAAGTATCGATTATAATATTTGTGTAGAATTGATAGAAAAGAATGTACTCTTTCCATTTCATTTCATTTTTTCACGCTTTAGTAATTTTTATTTATTTTAATTCATAAGAATCTAAAATGTTTAAGAATATATTAAAAGGTTACATAGTTCTTTTTATGAAATTAGACATATTAATTGTAATTCTTAAGTATTATACCAAAATCTTAAACGCTAAATATAGAACAGATGAAATATTAATTATAATATTATTAAATATATAATATCGATAATAATTAAATTAAATAAAAATTAATTGCATTTATAACAATAAATGTGCGATAACGTATTATGTTAATGAATAATATGAAAAATGAAAATTACGGCCTGTTTATGCTAATGAATAAATATGAAATGAAAGTTAATTGAACATCTATTAGTTTGTTTAAGAAATCTAACCATTTACTAAGTGTGTTAATATAATTAATTATTTATTTAACCACTACTTCAATTTAAATGACTTAAAGTTCATAATCCTAGCATTTAATTTCCATCTTTCCTTTAATTATATTGATAACATTTATTTTATATAAAAGTTATTAAAATATAATTTAGAAAACTTAACACTTAATTTAATAATAATTATTATTATTATTATGACAATCATAATAATAATAATAATAATAACAATTATTATTATAATTTTTTCGTATATAATAACAGTTTGAAATTATTTGGTAACCAACAAATAAGTCTCCTCAAATTTTGTGTAAGCTTTCACTTTCGTATTTATAGTGTAAAGCTACACTTTTAAAATGTAATGATATATGACAAGTTAATTAAGTGGTTCGTGCTCTTTTAAAAATGTCAATCGTTAAAATTGTACCCTAACTCCATGTTTTTGAATTTGTTATTGTGTGTATTAACAATCTTATTTAAAATGAAATTATATAATTTACTTTTGTTAAAAAAAAATATTGTTGATATGAATTTTATAATTTGTTTTATGATAATATAAAATTAGATGACATTGTAAAATATATTTACATTTTCTCTGCTTTTTTACAAGTATTTTTTATATCATGCTTTATCCTTAATAATGTATATAAAATAATATTTTATATCTAGATTATACTTTTGTTTACTTTATTTTTTATTAATTTGCAATTTTGATCCTTATTTTAAAATAGAGATATTTTATTCTCTATTTTTAAAAATATAAAACATTAGTTCTATCATTAATTTTATATTCATTAATTAATAAATTTTGATATTGTTTATTGATTTGTTACTACTTAAATGACATGATATTTAATAATATGACATATAAAGATAAAAATAAAAAAATAACCTAAAAAACATCTTTATTTATATTTATTTTAACAAGTTATTAGTATTTATTTTCTTAACAAGTCTCATTTACATAACTTTTTTATCTCTAAATGTTATATTACTAAATGCCACATTATTTATAAGTTTAAGTAAACCTTAAAATTTAACTATTAGTAAATATCAATTTGATAGAAGGATTCAAATATCGTACTTTTAAAATTAAAATGACTAAATATTTTTATTTTAAAATAGAGAAATTAAAATTAAAGATCGACGAAAATAAGGAAATAAAAAATAAAATTTAACTTTTTTACTAGTGTTTTTTTAATCATATTTTATCTAGAACAATAAAAAAATTCAATTTCTCTGAAAACACAAAAAATCTTCGGCCAATTGAAATAATGTATTATAATTATATTTGTTTGTTGGGATATAAATAAGTCCCACATCAATAAAATAACACAACAAATAACAACTTATATAATACAAACATAATCCTCTTATAAAAATAATTCTTATAAAATATCTCTTCAAATAAATATTATAAAATAACTCTATCATTCTCATCGGTATTAATGACCAATGTTAATATTATATTTATAATTATTATTGAGCTAAGGTGAACCACAAAAGTTTTGTATCCTTTCCAGCCTTATCTTTAGTACAATAACATGTCATGGGTGAAAGTGAGAGAGGTCAAATTAGAACAGTTTGAGCGACAACTAAATCAATTCCAGCCACTAATGAGAATCGCACATCAACTAATTAACTAGAAAAGACATTATCTTCTACCACTCACATTACCGGAAAGAAATAAACAACACCACCACTCTTTCAAAAAACCAATACAAAACTTCAATATGTAAAAATGTTTTTTTTTTATTAGTAAATCGAATACGACAAATGGAATTACTTTAAAATTCTTGCCAAACTTCACTAAAAGTTGTGAGCGAGATTGTTCCGAATTGAATGTGTTTGGTGAATTTGTTAGACATATAAATATAAGAGTTAATCATTCATATACTTTCAGTGTAAAGTTTTTACACTGATAATCAATCAAATTTTTTAAATTATTTTATTTTATTTTTATTTCATTAAATAAGTAATTGACATGATATTATTAAAAGATATAATTGGTTGTCAGTGCTAGGAGTGTTCATGTATCGATTTTTTTAAAAAATTCGAACTGAACTGAATCGAACCGTTTTATAAAAGTGGATTGGTTAACCGATCCATTTTTTATAAAATGAATCGGTTTGATTTTTTTAAAATATGGATCGATTTTTTTGAAATTGGATCAGTTCGGTGTGGTGCAATTATCCACTTTTTACTCATATGTCGGTTTTTTTAAAAATCAAACTGAACCGAAACCGGTCCACTTTATAAAAATGGATCGGATAACTGAACCAAGTTTTATAAAGTGATTTGGTTCGAATTTTATTTCAAAATAGATTGAATTTTTCAATACAGACCGGGTCGATTATGGATCGGTTCGAATCAATTTAAATTTTTTACACATTCTTAATCAATGTAAAAAGAATTTATACTAACAGTATACAAGTGATTAATTCTAAATATAATAGTATCTATATCTAGTAAATTAAATATTTGAGTATGACATTACTCTATATATAATAAAGTAGGTGGATCAATTCTTGCCCGAAATGTATTTGACTTATTAATTAGAGACATATATAATAATATAAAATCATTGAGGTATCTCGCTAGAAAATGAGTCCAAGTACATAAACACCCCATGCTTAATTAAATTTGAAATCATAGAACCCAGGAAAATATCATATGCTTTTGAGTCTGCTTGGAAGCGCATAAACAAAAAGGAAGACAGTGGACTATCAACTAAGTAACACCCTATGTCCGTAGATTGCCCCACCAACATACTTGCATTCTTATTTGTTTAAGTAATAATAACTTCTAAATCACAAGTATTCTCCACAATTTTATTTGAGTTAGGTTGGACCATATATATAGATAACAAAACTCTTCTTTCAAATATTTGACACATGAATATATATATATATATATA